CCACCTCACAAGTTTGCGCGGCGACCACGCGAGGAATTAGAATTGAAGAGTTTGCGGTCGCCTTCTGCGACATTTTGTCCACAGTAAGCCACTCAGCTGGTTGTAGCGAGACAGACGCTAGCGCCCGGCGTCGCAAACCAATGATTTCTGAAGAAGAAAAAAAACACGCAAGGAAGCAGATTCTACACGACACGAGTTGCTTCAGGCCGAAGGAAATGTTGTTTAGAAGTTTTCATGACAGATCTATAATGTCCGCCTAGATCCAACAAAGAAAATGGAAAGATAAACCACTCGACCAGCATAAATTTCTGTGCATCAAAACATTCGAATAATGGCTACAAAGTTAAGCAAAGCGTACGAACTTACTGATGCTGAGGTACATCTGACTGCCGGTCTCGTAAGTCTCCCAGCTGAGTCCTCTGTACCGCGTCTTCTCCTTGACCGTCCCATAGTCCGTCTTCTGTATCCGCGGTTCATTCGGGTCCCTGCAAAGAAGTTCATGAACTCGCACGTGTCCATATTTGACAGTATTTAGTGAGTCCGGGAGACCGAAAGGATTTTAGGAAATGTCGGACTGAGAGGTCCTTAGACAAAACCTAGGAAATCGTAACAATTATGGCGCGTTAGACAGAATTTCACCTCTGACCTCTGTAAATGGCCTGACGTCAGAGTCGTCTGACCTGGAGGGAGAGGCAGGTTTTTGGTGATGACGCAGAACTACGCGCAGATGGTTAGCTGGGGATTCCCAAGGCGGGGATCCCCACATATTACTTCAGCGCGAATACGCGCTCGTAGTTCTACACGTCATGTTCCTGTTGTTATTATCAGACACGAAAATGTGATATAGCATCGATAAGTTATAACAGAAATTCCCAATATCAAATTTCATGAAAATTCGTTTACAGAGTTCTCACATGCGTGTCGGTGGCTGACCGGTGCGTCGTAAAACAGCCAAAGTGCAGGGGCAACGACTCAACGAAACCTCCGACACTGCTGTGTGATGAGTGGTGGAGGCAGCAAGGACCTCCTCCGAAACGTCGGTAAACTTCTATCAGACTGCACGGCGCAAGAACCCATCTTCAACTGACGAAGTTAATTCTAGCAATGTTTTGGGAAAAGGGAGTCGACTACTAAAAATATTCGCGTCTATGGCAATGGAAACGCAACTCTAAGAACTTTTTATGGGACGCGAAGTGGCGTTAAAGAAACAATTACAAACATTCCGTGCCACAATTTAACACCCAGTGCTTCAGTTCCCGTCAAGACCACATCCGGCCGCCATCAGCAACGACGTTGACCCTGAGACAGATTCTGGTCTCCGAAACGTCGAGATTTTAACCAAAATAATGTCCGGAAAGTTCATTGGTTTGCAAAGATTTTTATAGTTTTTAGGTTTCGATTCAAATCGCATCTTATATCTTATTTTCATACTTCGAACAATAAAATAAGTTTGATTGAAAATTTTAGCATAATTATATTTAGCTAACAGATAATGTCGCCATATTATGGCGTTTTAAAAATGTCCTGACGATGATACAAAATTTAGCAACTCAGTTGATATCACGAGACTGCGACATAAGATATTTTTGCACGTAGTGAACTAAACTTTAATAATCCAACCGATACACGTAAAAAGCAGTTGTGCATTAACACTTCACGCGAGATAGCCAAAAATTGTGGGCATTCGTTTTTAAAGCTGAGAATAACGCAGAAGCTTAAGTCATTAGACGTTCGTTGATGCAATATTCGGAGCTCTAAAAAAGCTCGATATTATACGACGCACTTGACACTTGATTTGAAGCAATCAGCACCAATCCGATTTGACCCCAATCTCGAGATCAGGCAATGCGGCCTGTTCCAATTCAGGGTCAATTCTGAAATACCAATCGCTCGCCGTTTGCCCACAGCAAAGCCTCTCACGCACTGGGATTCGAACACGGAACCACGGCCGCTGTGATCGATTTGGCACAGAAAACGGGATTTGTGGGCGTAGGACCAGCGTCGCCTTACCCGGTTTTGGCGAAGTTGGTGAAGAAATTGAGCACCGCCTCTGCGACGCCCATGTCTTGTCGGCTGTAGTTCTGCGGGAAGAAGGGATGCCCACCCACCAGGGGCAGTCCCAGGATGTAAGTGACGTCCTCTCCTCTGACGCTGCCCAACCTCTAAACCACAACGAGTACGAAATTAATAGCGCAAAACCCAAGAGAGCAGATGACGGGATGATTTGGGGCGGGGGGCAGTGAATGGACCTGAACAGGAAGGGAAACACATTTTGTAAACGGCACAGAATTTCGTCTTTCCTCGGCGCAAAGAAAAGTTATTGAGACGACACAGCGAACATGGAACTCTGAAAATTTGCTAAACATTTGGGTACAATTTATTTTAGATTTCTACTCTAAAATTTGTTGGGAAAACTTAATTGTGTCCCTACTGGTCCACTCCAAACCTTTTATTTCAAAGAACCAGATAACTGTAGAACCTTGCTCATCAAAATTTGCGATAGCTCTATGAATTTTAATAAAATAACTAATGTTGCTTCTCAAGAAAGTCTTGAGAAGCTGACAGTCGCTCAGCTACAGAAGAAACCACCTCACTCTTTAATGAAGCCCATAAATTCATTACCGTGTTCACAAAAAAACATCCGTGGTTAGTATCCTAAGCCAGATAAACATTTTTCAAAAGGCTCTTCGCAGGATTGCTAAGAGCCTAAAAAGTTTAGGCCCACAGCGTAAGGACGTAATTCATTTCGACACGTACGATAAAGGCCACGGTAATTTCTGACAAACTTCTGGTTTGGATGCATACAAATTCAGGTTTTTTATACCCCTGTAGCCGAAAATTAAACAATTACATCCAGTCAGTTATTTCCCCGGCAGCAAAATATAAAATACGCCGGTTAGCGGAAACACGTGGGACCGAAAGACTGCAAAACTGCATATTTCTGTCCACGTGACCGCGATAATTTGAAAGCCGCAAGCAAACGCGAGAATGCTAACTATGGCTTTCATAGTCGCGTGCGAGGCCACAGGCGCACTTCCTACAGCGGGTGCGCCTTCAACTCCCAGGGGACCCCGGCCACGACAGTCGAAGCCACGTTACACACGTTCGCGACTTTGCACTCGCGTTTCGAATTTCAGTTCTGGACTTCTTCAGTTTTTCTCTTCCAAATGGTTTAAATCACTCCATTAATCGAGACTTGTTCGAACTCTGAACCGAGTTAATCTGTCAATCGATCGATAAATAATACAATTTTTTTAATACTCGTCTGAATGCGGTAATGTACCACAAACTCCAACAAACCCCGAGGGATTCGGTGACCAGCTGCGCAAATATGGATTAATTATGTCAAAGAAGCCTTTGATTCGTGTATTTACAACATCAAGCAATCAAATAAATCCATTAATAATAACCCAAAAGCGATCAGTATCAAAGAAGAGCCAATTAATAAAACAGCCACTCCATAAATTATTAAATGAAGCAACCAAACAAATTTATGAAACAATCAACCGATAAGCCGACTAATAAACCCAAGAAAATTATTTTCAATAATAAATAAAATATTTAATTACTCCGCGGATCAATGCGCTAATCACACAAGTTTCTCAAAGAGAACGCAAGCAATCGCAGGCGATATACACCTGTGGGTAGTCACTTTCCTTTGTCTGGTAGCCGAAATGGAAGAAGTAGGTCTTCGCCCCCCGCCTAGCGTGGAGGTACGCAACCCTCACCAAGGGGGACACAGTGTGTCCGTCACTCAGAGCTTCCATTGTCGAGTCTCTGATGTTAATGGGGTGCTGGATCGGTTTGTCCCAGTCCGTATACTCGTTTTTCACCGTCGAAAATATTTCGTTCAAATGGTACATATAAGCGTTTCGAATGTACGTCCTCAACACGCGATTTCTCTGGTCTTCCTCGAAGCCGTACTGAATGTCTGCAGCGTTGAAGTCCAGGTAGCTCTCCGTTGTCGTCGTCCCGAGCATCATCTCGCAAGTGATGAATGCCTCGTTGGCGTGTTCCATGGCGAGGGTGGGCTCACTGGTGTCCGCATCGGGTGGAATGGACGGCCCGAAACGGGGGAGAAAGCGTGGCGGGTCCATCTGCACGTCAAGCAGGGCTGAGAGTGGTTTGGTGCGCAGACAGGGCGCGCTGTCCTCGTCAGCCGCCATGCTGAGACATCCCATCTGCTCCGCCACTGTCGCCCGAAGACTGTCTGGCTGCTGCACGACGGCCCACGGACTGAGAACCGATCCGCTCAGCATCACCACGCGATGAAACAGCCCTGAAACATTGGCCATCGGAATTGACTGACATATCGAACAGACGCACTTAACAAAACTATGACCACGTGTTTTCCCATCTCGGGGTTGCTAGGATACCAAATAATGCATAAATAAATCTTAGCCGACCACCATATCGCGGTAAAACATAGACGAATATGGTCAATGCATAAATCGATTTATTTAATATTTTTCGTAGACTCGGGACGGACAAACGTGTTGAGTTACAACGCCGTAGAGAGAGACCAAGAAGCGAGCACAGAGTTTGCCTCCAGTACTGAAGCCACTGTGGACGTCCGATGTCGATGTCTCTAGCCATGACCGGAACCTTCAAGTTCGGAATTCAGGCATATTCTCATTGCGACTAACGCAAGTAAGAAATTCACTGCGATTGAGGATTCCGTTTTCCGCCGAACACATCAGAGCATTAACCGGAGACTTACTCGAAGAAGTTAGCTAATGCGGTGAACCTCTTCGCAGTAGTTCGTCAACTTGAAAGGCACTTCCGGTCACCAAGGAGCTTTTTGAATTCACTCACATAAAACCGACGAAGCTGGCCTTAGAAAAGCGCCGCGAAGCTGTGATTGTCCAACAATACTGGCTTTAGTTTTTCAGTGTTTCTCCTGACCTGTAACGCAGATTCAAGCGAAAAATTCGAAAGGACCACCACCCCAATCACGGAAGCCACCGGCCAACGCTATCTCGACCTTACCGTGATGAAGTCCCGGACATGCGACCAAACAAAGGACAAATTTTCTGACGGGATCCCTCTGCCACCAGTAGGAATAAGACCCTGACTGAAGATGTCAAGACCTACAGCGAAACAGCAAGACAGGCCCAGTTCCAGACATATTTTTTATCGCCGTGGGGCTTACCTTTCGCTGCCCTGGAGATGAGAAGCAGGTTCACTAGCGCCGCGCCTGTGTCGTGGCCGAGCACAGTGACGCGACCCGGGTCGCCGCCGAACGCCGCTACGTTGTGTCGAACCCACTGCAGCGCCGACAGGATGTCGCAGACGCCGAGGTTTCCACCAGCTGTTCCGTCGCGGTCAGGTCCCGGGCGCGTACGCAGGAATCCTGCAACACAGTGACATAGAGTGGGCTCGAGGCCCGCTTCGTGTGACGCACGGCCGGAGAGCCAATGAGTACAAGGCACGTTCACTGCCATTTTCGGTATTTAAAGTTTGTCCCACTACACGCCATGTAGGCGTTTGGGGGGAGAGGAGGTATAGCTCCTCTCTTCCTTGACCTCGGCACTAGATGGGGGTGAGTGGTCAGCATCACGCCCCGGCCGGCTTTACCCCCGGGAAAGGACCCCGGTACCCATTGTAGAGGAGGCTGGGTGGGCCCCAGAGCCAGTCTGGACGCAGAGGCTAGAGGAAAAATCCTCTGCCCCCGTCGGGTATCGAACCCCGGTCGTCCAGCCCGTAGCTAGTCACTATACTGACTGAGCTATCCCGGCTCATTTCGTATATGCATAGGGCTAAGATATTAAAAGCATATCACCTTGCTCTCAGTATTTATCTGCTCAGATCTTCCAGTTAATTCAGTGCGATATATGTCTGTCTTCATTGAAAAACTATATTGATTACATCGCAGAAAATCAAGGCAATTTATTTGTTATAAATTTTTATACTATAAAACAATATTCATTCGAGTACGAAATTTTGAATGCCATATCAAAATCGTTCACAACTGAAAAGTTACCTGAGTTACAATAAAGTCAGGGACATAATTGCGGCTTCAATGCTAATAGTGCGTAGATAAACAATGCTCACTGGTTTCCAGGCACGTCACAAGTTTAATCAGCAAAACTGTATTTCTGACAATGATGTTTAAGATTACCTAGAAGAATCTGCCTACGAAATTAAACGATTAAGGACAGAAAAGTAGGCCTGTGCTCGGAAAGGAAAAGTGGCAAGGCTATTGGACAATCAGCTGCGTCCGGAAACAACGTCATGAAACATTTCTTGTTATTTGGTGATTGTACTGCACTTTTAAACACAGAACTGAATGATAAGCAACCGATACAGAATGGAGCAAATTCATTATCTTTACGAGAGCGGGGATTGTTCTAGGCGATTTTTACAATTTAATTTTCATAATTTCTCGACGCGAGATTAAGCCGTGCGTCACGATTCGCGGTGATTGTTTGGGTGACAAAATTTCCGCGAAATTCTCTCTGCTTTGATGAAATGTAATAATTTTTGTGAAATAACAGTTGCTGTACGCTGCTGGGCTGTGCAGCGGTCCACATTAAATTCCCAAGGACCTAACTTATTTCTGCGAAATAAAAAAAATTCCAGTTATTTCAAACGGGATGACTTATATTAATAAGCGGACTTCAATACACACAAAGTCGTTTTCTGTTTTGAGAGGGGCGCACACTACTTCCTGCCTTCGCGGACCCCTTCAGAGAACACCAAACAAACAAACAGTCCAAATTCACTGGACATCGTGATCGTACGCTTAACAATTTCACTTCATATTCGGAAGTGAAGGTTTAGATCTCGGCCCAGGGGACGGCTAGTGTCATTTGTTTTCGTGGGTTTCCTCAGTCCCTCCAAAAAATTAATTCGAGAGTAATTATCTTGTACAGCTTATGACCTGGTCTTCCCATATCCTTCTTAATTGATCCCGTTGCAAGACTTTTTCAAAAAAATAAACGAGGAATAGTCGTTAAATAAGGTAAGAAGCCAAATTGCATATCGCGCGCCTTTTCATCACAAAGATAATTACAACAAAGTAACTTTAAAACAGTTAGTTTATTGCTGGCTGTTGTTGGAAATGACGTCACAGGCGTTCGGGAGAGGGGGACGCAGAAGAAGACACCGGGGTGAGGGGGGGCGTGGAGTAAAGGTTCCTCCGCGTCGCTAATTTCGTAATTATGTCATAATCAAATCACAGATCATCCCAAAGACTACTAATCAAGAACGAATTTCGCTGTCTACTTGGAGGACAGGTAACATCAGCTCTGCCTGCCCATACGACGTCCTATCCCGGAAGCTACGAACCGCGAATCGCTGGAGTCTGATTCAGTGTTCTGAAAGCCCCGTTAAACAATTTCCTGCTACTGAAGCGTTTTAATTTGATTGCAGAATCGTCCGGCGGATTGGAAAGGAGACGACGTGAAAGGACAACTGCAAGCGGCGATCTGTTCAGACAGCCGCGAACTAAACCTGTTGACGTATTGCGACCAAACTGCACAACATATTGACTAACGGTGTCAAGGAATGAGATTTTTATATCCGGAGTTGTTTTTAACAACGACGTGGCCTAACACTTTTTCGTGAGAAGAGGGGAAAATAAGGGGAGGAACAGTTCGAAAATGATGAGAAAACAAGGATTCTTTAGGTCTTAAAATATAACCCAGTCCAGGTTCGTTCACCTGTCCCTTGTTCCTTAGATTATAATAAGAACAGCCATTTTGTCTGCGCGTGGGTTGCTGACAGTGGTTTATTACAATCAGCGTCACGGAATTTGTGAACTTTGCCCTCCATCCGATGTTCTGAAATCAACGTTTCCGTCTTCATGTGGAAACATGATAACATCCATTCAGCTGGGCCCCTTAGAAACAGCTAATCTCAGCCACCGGCCCAGTAACTCCTTCCGTGCGCGTGTCCCAACATTTCACACGAAGACGGAGGCAGACGTTCGACCAAGTCCAGAAATCCACTGATGGTAACTATTTGGCTGCGTTTAGCTACTCCATAATCTCATCTCCTTAACCTTAGCCAGAACGAAACGAGGCGCTGGACTTGAAGCAACTCTCGTCGGCGAGGGTAAAAAGAAATGCAGCATCGGTCCCGCGTAGCTGGCTTATGCAGTCTGCACGGTGTCTTCTGTTCCTGCAAGCCCACCCCTCGAATCACTCTCTACCTGGTTATCTCTTTCCATTACTTACACTTTCCCTGATTTTGGTCAGTCCGTCGAGGCAAATGTGCGGACGGATGTTGAAACAAGGGAGGACGGGTTCCTTCTCTCTCCTTCCAAGTTCGCCTATTCACGTATTCTTTGACATTCAATACCTGCTTCAGTTTACATATCATCGTTAAACAACCTACACTGCAGGACTTGAACCTCTCGCGGCGATCAGCCCCGGCAGTTGGTTACACGAACAGACTAACGTTGTGATGTCAGAGCCCTGATGATGGGGGGACATGGTTACCGAAACGTCGGTCTCTTCGTGTAACCGACTGATTGCCACAGAAGATTTTACTGAACCTGCACAAACCAAGACAGCTTCCTGCAACTCACCACGTTCACATTGTCCACACAGTACAAAACCACTACAGATGAAGCAGCGTTATTAATAGTCCAGGATACAGGCTAGATTTATAGCTCCAGATGCAGATGCTGCGAGATTTAGCTCGTAACAAACTCAGTCTACGTTGAACCGCAACGGGCATCTGTCGATGACTTGGACAGAGAACCCTGAAGGCGCTGAGGAAATTAAGATAAAAAAGCCGCTGCTGGAATCGCTTTCCTCTCCACTGACTTCGTCGCCGGATGAATGGGAAAAGAGGGAGAGGACAGCAAGAAGTTGAAGTTGGGACCACAGGAACATAAAAAGAACGGCGAAGTATGGAAAAAAGAGCGAGGAGAAACGGAGCGAAAGAGACGGCGAGCGGGCAAGTCGGAACGGAGTCCGCTGTATCGATTCACCGTTAATGTGCGAGGAGGTCTGTTTGCGAGACCTCACGGCGCTCGGCTTCCTAATGATGAAGTCGGGTCTTCGAGCCTGCTCTCGCTTCAGAAGCTGCTTCATCAAACGCGAGTCCTTCGTCTCCGCAAGCGTCAAGAAATGACCATCGCGGCGCGCCACTGACAGTTACAGCCCACATTTCGAAGCTCACTTCTTGGAAAGGTAAAAGTCACACACAAAAAAACAAACTGACAAACTAACGGATGGGAAGACGAACCAAGTAACAAGAATGAAAATGCAAATGCAAATGGAAACAGTCAACAGAGGAAGAAACAAACAAACAGGTGGCTGTATTCTTTGTAATGTGATGGAAATATAGACGTTTTCAGACGTTTCAGTGGTGGTACCTCCATCATTAGGAAGGCCTGATGATGGAGGCAGCAAGGAACTCTGCAACGTCGGCAAACGTCTACCAGACTACAAGACGCAACAACTCACAGAAGAAGCCATCTTCAGACTCACTGGGATTTAGCAGCTAATTATTTCAACAAAATTCCCTTCACATCCGTTATATACCGATTTCATATTAATGGAAATTTCTGACAGTTCAAATGATTTACAGGTCGCCGCATCGTGCTTAAATGTAATTGCAAATGTTCAATGTTCACGATTACATAATTTATCCGACTTTCGTATCACATAAAGCCATTAAAATTATATTATGCGTTGATAGAAGAGGTACCAAACTTGTAATTGGTAAAATATGAAAAAAATAGTAGTTCATTTTTGCAGTTCTTTACAGGGCCTGAGAATTGCGACCCTATGAGGACCTGAAGGTCGTTACAGACGTTTCGGAGGAACGTATCACCTCAGTCTTACAGTCCCACGGCGTTCGCATTCGAGCAAACCTGTCCCAAGCAACACTTAATGCATCTCAGATCCAGAAACTTGAATTCTGTTTGGAATAACGAAGCGTTGTCACTAGAGCAGCAGAAATCTGTTTAACGCGAATGTAGATAAAGTTGCCTACGACAATTACCGACGAATGTCTCTGTTATCAAACGAATAAAAAATATTATCCAACATTCTTTTATGGATGGATTCAGATGGGAGGGAGGTTTTGTAGGAATCCTCGGCGAATTCGGTTTACGCACAAAGCGAGCCTATGAGGTCTCTGTAGGTGAATATTTTCCGCTCAGAATGACCTGAAAGTGGGAGGTGCTCCACCGCCATTGCGTCGAAGTGTTGCTTTCGTAAAATATTCGAAATGAGCAGGACACATCAGCTTTTCGCCAAAGCTGATGACGTTAGTTTATAGCGCCAAATGATCATTATAACGAAAACGCAGAAGCAATCGAATATTGAATCAGTGCGTGCTCATGTCTCGTAAGCAGTCTACAGGACAAAATCATTACGCGGAGGTAGCTGACAGTCGCAGTTAAAAAGTTTCGGAACGAAGGCAGATACCGAAATTGCATTATGCAATGAATTAAGAGGAGAATAAGTTAGGAAAACGCCTTCTACCGTGAACTTCAGAATCCTATATCTCTCCGTCTGCAACTACAAACTTAAGTATTAAAATATACAAAATTATAATTTATGACTGTGAATCTCGATACGTCACGATAAGGCCTCAAGTCGTTATGTAACAGGGCGTTTAAAAAAAAAGTTAAGATTTTGGCCTGAGAGAGATAGAATCGTTGCGTAAAAAGGAGTTGTGTAATTTATACTCTTAGCTGCTCGCAACGAGGGTGAACGAACCGAGGATGAGATAGCAACGCGAAAAGAGTCTAGGAACGGAAAATGCAGGAGACCACTCAGAAGACCTAGGCGTAGATGGGAGGATAATATTAAAATGGATTTTAGGGCTAAGGAGTGCTTAGTGGGGGGATAAAATTTATGTGACTTAGGATTGGGACGGTGACGAACCTTGAGGTTACACAAATCGGACGAATTTCTTAGTTTTCTTTTTACTAACAGCAAATCACATCGCATCACAGTACATGTATATGTTGTAGGTTCCCAGAGGCTTCAAGAACGCTCAGAGGATGCATGATGACGTCCTGTCCGGTACAGGAGCGTCCCTTGCAGCAGGGCAGAACGCCCTAGATTGTTATGTTCGAATGTAATCTAAGTGATAAACTACTTATGTGACGCAGACACAAACGTAATTAGTTTCTATGGGAATTGGGGCTTGGCACTTTGCTTAGCGTGACATCGATTGGCTCGGAGACGCTTTTTTGATAGTCTTCAATCTCTAAAAATATGACTACGTACTCCAGTCAGTGTATATGTGTGAGCGTGTCAAAAATGGCTGATTATTTCATTCCTTGGATGCCATGATGTAGTTATCGCGGGTAAGTTTAAAATATTTCACGAAAGGGAACTTAAAAAGATTCACGCGAAATTTAATAAAATCCGAAGAAAAATTCTGAAAATTCTAGGTATTAAACCGGGAGACAATGCACACACAGAAGTGCAGGAAACAGTCCCTGGAGAGTAAAAAGCAACTCCAGCCAAGCATTTTTACCTGATTTTATTGTCACTCGTAAATATTGAGTGTTTAGAATGACAAAAGTTTATTAGACCGTGCGCTCGTGTACCATGTAGCAACTGCTTCCGGTCACGCTTACCAACCTACTTGAGAGGAAAGCGAATTTTTCTCCGCCTTAAATCTATACCACACGCGTACTGACACACGGTGGAACCACTGACTTCGCACTTATTCAGCGTGATCTGTTCCATTAAACGGTTCGAGCTGGATATTAAGTCGACTTCTTGTAACGGAGCTTAATCAAGCACTGCCTTCAACCTCCGATAACCGTTCCCTGTGAATCGTAGTAATTTTCATACGCGTCGGAATAAAACAACTGGAAATTATCTCTAACGAATGGCTGGACCACTTTTACCTCATTGTCGCGCCTCATCCAGTATTTATCGCAATTCTATGGCGTGAGTGGATTGGCGGAGGCAGAAATGGGCCGACTTTTATTCTGCTGGGACGCCTGAACGCGCCCGACCCTCATAACAGCATCTGCTAAGCAGTTACTTGCACATATTAAACGCTTCGGCAATCTTAATTACGTCCCAATTAGTACTGCAATTACAATAAGAATGCCCTGCCTCGGTCAGAGTGCATAATGGCCGACGATAAGACACGAATGGCGACATTAATGCGGTTTAACCCACTGAAGCACAACGTGCTTTGATGTAATTACTCTACATTATACCGAGCGTGGATTTATGGATTTTATATGATTCTCCAAATGTACAGCTTGAACAAACTGATTCTGTGATGTAAAGGCGGGAACTACTTTTCTAATTAAACAGTTGAATTCAGGTTTAATGTTTAACTTAATATTCGGACTTAAGAGGGGGGATGTGTCTAGAAACTCAAGAAATTGTGCCCCTAAAACTGAAATCGAACTGAGGACGCCGAGGTGGAAGCGTGTGTTAGATGCATGCGAGAAACAAGAAAACACACAAACATTCGGTCGGGAAACATGACTGGACGAGACCGCTTCGAAGATCTAGTCGTGGATAATATTAAAACGCGTGTCAAAGGCACAGCACAGGACGTGGCGTGCTGTTGTACTAAACCTCTTAATTGCCTAGCAGTCGACCAGGCGCGATCCTGACCCACTGTCTCGTTCAGAGTCACCAAAATGTTGCCCGTTAGTCTCACTCTTGATCGTCCAGGCTGATTTTTCCCAAGAGGATTTTCGACCAGAGTTCCTTAACAAAACTCTTCACCTATTCCGGTTATGCACTTGGCTAAAATTCTGTTAATTCAGAACGGTGTGGGACGAGGCGGCTGAACTGTCGTCATATTCCTGGATGCACTTGAAGACCGTGTTTGATTTCAGCAGGGACACCGGTTCTGAGACCTGGTCTGGTCCCTGGACATCTCGAATATGAAGAAGGAAGCCCTGACCACTCAGAGAAGACGAGTCAAGAATACATAGAAATGCGTACAGTCCACGCACTTGAACACTCACCAAGGACGCCGAGTCTGAAGTTGAGGGTGACGACGACCACGTGCCCGTAGCTGGCCATCACACTGCCGTCGTAAGGGTTTCCCGAGTTCCACTCGTAAGACTCGCCGTGGATGTAGACGACGACGGCGTAAGGCGCCTCCAGGCCTCGGTTCCCTGCAACAAGATTATTCTTGTTCGTTTTCAAGGTACTCGATGGCGCTGTGCTAACCACAGAGGTTGTTTAGCGAAAATGTCGCTCTGGGTGCTCAACCGGAAATACGTACAGGCGAGATCCTTCAGTGCCAATGAAAAGTGACACTGGGACAGCTTTCTCTAAATGTTTCTATTTTTCTAAATTTCTAAATTACACCGACGTTCCATATGAACTGCAGTTACGCAAGGACAAAGTCTCAACCCTTGCAAAATTAACAATTACTGAAATATAATATATATTACGCATATAATAGTAATGGAGAATGTATTAATTGTGTTTTCCTAAATATGAATACGATTAGTATGCCAAACGTGACGAACTGATAAGTACAACCGATGACTGAAACGTGTACGAATAAAAAAGGGAAATATTGTTATGTGGAAATGTGTTTATATTTTAACATTTTCTATTGCAAAAACACGATAAAAAGTATTAACAATTTGTACCTTTAACAAATGGTAACAGGATGATGGAATTAAGTACGTTGAGATGGGCAGTGCATGTAGGGCGAAGTTGAGAGGCAACAAGCATGGATAAGCGGTAAGATTTAGACGGGCGCTTAGGAAAGTTCTGACCACAAATATTCCTTGAGTGAAGCCTCGAGCTCACCGAAACAGCAAGCCCAGCATCTAATCAACAAGATAATAATTTACGTCATCGCCATTATCTGCGCCCCATCGCCACGTGATCCTACAGGGTCGGGCAAGCCTCGGGCAAAAGGGACATTTATGCCTTTAAAATAATTTTTTCTCCAAGTCGATATTTGTAGCAGCATTTTTTACACAGACTTAAGAAATAAGATTTAAAGACTAAATACTTATTTGTAGTTTATTAAACGACAATGCCAGTGGGTCAGAATAAATAATGGATTGGAAATTACATGCAAGCTTCTGTCCGGAGTTTGCCTGGAGGAGCTTAAGAACGCACTTAAAACCACAGTCCAGTTAAGATCCGAACAAGGAACGTGAATAGCAAACCGCTCGACTGCGACATCTGGTGTCCCGACCTGCATTCGGGGCGTCGCCACGAGATTTCAGGTGTGCCGTGAATCTCTTATACGAGTAATAAGTTGTACGACTGTTTCATCCGGCATACGGAATGTTTTCATGTGTGTGCACTCTTAAAGGACAAGTATTTGTATATTTATGGCCATGCGTCATTTTGTACAGCCTTCTTTGTGAGGCAACATTTTATGTCCTTGACAAATCAGGGAGTTCTGCGGTTGAGAAAAGTTTCGGGAACATTTGCATAGAGTTGGTGATGGCCTCTTCAGCTCAGCCGGTTTCATCCGCTCCTCCGCCTTACTGCATGTTCTGACTATGCGAGATCTGATAATGAGATTCACTGCCGAAACTTCAAGTTGGACCCTTGAAGCGGGAGATACTTATTTCGACAAGTTACGACCGGAGTTTGGAAGTGTTCTAAAATGTCTGAAATGTTTGCCGAAGTAGGTTTCAATATTTTAGGTTATGTACTTTTCCGCACGAGACAGACGCCTAGGCGTAGATGGCAGAACTTTATTAATATGGATGTTAACATAAACGTAGTGACGTTGGAGTCGATATGTATCGATATCAGAAAACTACGGCCACTGGAAAATGAATCCCAGTCCTTCGCTGTATTCGAACGTTATTAACAGTGCATCATTTAATTATGAGCTGAGGCAGCTCAGTCAGTAGGGTTTGTAGCTAAAATGCTGGGGGCAAGGAGTTCGAATCTCAGCACAGTCAAAGCAAACCAAAACCTTGTCCTTTCCGTCACAGTCCTAGCCAGCTCGTTCTTTCCGGTTGCAATTCAAAGTACAAACTCGAATTTAGAGGGAAAAGCCAAACTGAATGTTAAACATTACGCAATGTTTCGTCAGACTTTAAAGTTGATATATTCAGGGAGAACATACAACGAATGGGTTTCTGTGACAGCCTTGGGGCAGGCAGCACCGTTTCGTCCAACTCTCCACCTACTTTCAATACAAGGCTGCTAAAGCACCAAACTATTACATATTTACCCTGAAGATGGCAACTGCAATGTTTTCCGAAACACTGAATAATTTTCAACATTCGACGCTGCTCATCCCCGAAAGCTGAAGCTGTAGAAAGAATACATTTTGCTAAAGAATACAAATTTCGGCTCTCTATAAAACTTACTTACCCCTTAAATCCACTATCCACATTCGACTTAATAAGCCACTTAACACCTTATGGCCACTAATCACGGTCTAGGATAGCATGTGCAAAATAACTTTTATTATTATTATTATTATAATAATGCTATTTTTTCTTATATGCACAGGCGTGGAGCGAGATTCTGTGGAGAAGGGAGTTCGTAGTTCAAAGACGTTTTAAATGGCAATCTATTTTAAAAATCTTTGATCTTCGTATTACTTTGTCAAAGCTCGACGCCAAAGAGCCGCTTAGAGACAGACCCATTCGGTGTCACAAGTAAAAGATTGACTGCCCACTACTTGTTTAATGTCCGGATTTTATAGATACGGCAATGAACATTTGCTTTCAGTGCCAGGGAATATCTCGAGTAACAACCAACCGCCCCAGGTCCATGTGCAGACTCCACATAAAGACGAAGTGGCGCTGGTTGTGGTAACCCTGTGGAAGTTCCCTCTTTCAACTTTTAGCACGAGTGTCTGGAAGTTGCTAGCATTTTAAGCTTTTCAAGTATCACATCTAAGGTTAGTTTACAAGCAGCATTTGAACTTTCTTTCTACTTTTATGCTCGTTACCACTGACTTTACTAGTTTGGCTTTGTTCCTGCGATATTATTACGACCCTGAAGAAGAGAACATTTCCGTGTAACTTTCTGGTCTAGTCATCGTACATAATAATCAAGGCATCCTGTAGAAGCAGAGGCGAGGTTAGACGTGCAGCTTCGTTACAGCTAGGGAGCCATCTACTTACCTCCCCATCAGTTCTGCCAACTGCCAACAGGAGCTCGCCTAAGCCCCTAAAAAGCTTTCTCTCTGTATCTCACATCCTTTCAGCGCACTTGAGAAAGATCTCTTCCCTTTTAGAACCATATACGCGCGTATCTTGTAGCAGACTAACAAAAACAAAACACAGTGCTCTGTATCCTGCATGTTATTCATGTTACCGTGGGATTAGGCATACTAGAAAGATATTAAACTTTTCAAGAAAGCGCATATTTAATCAACAACTTGAAAGTAACTGTGTTACAGGACGCAGCATTTAATGACATGAATCTACGCGCTGGTTTCTTTTGGGAAAACTTCATTTCCTTCAGTAGCCAACAGTTACTTTACCACCGAAGAAACATCTCACCGAGATATAGGCCTACACAAAACTGTAGTTCCCAGTTTCGTTTCTTATTCGACGAAAATTCTTCCATCTAATGGGTCATGCAGGGTTGCAAGACAGGATAAGTAAGGACGCGGCGAAGTTCAAGGTTCAATCGCAGTTGCCTTATTACGGGGACTGAGCGGATGAAGAGCCTTAGGATAGGTTTGGGATTCGAAGCCGAGCCCCCTCACAAAATAATATCAGACGTGGTAATCAGCGGAATGCGATGTTCGGTGAATCTGTAAGCGACGCAGTGGTTAGCGATTCAAGTTTTGACGACATCTGAGGCCGAGGATCACGACTAATGTTTTCGTTTTTCGTCAGTACCTTCAAAGAGATTACCGAATATCACATTAAAAAGGTCAAACCGCTTCAACACGACAGCCGGCCCGTGAACGCGAATCTAAGCTACTTAACCCGATGCAAACAGTCCATCTCTTTCTGAGTCTTGCAACTGAACGTTCTCCTTCAGATTTCCACATCAGATGTTCGAGTGCATTCTTTTCCGCATGCCCAAGAATATTTATCGCTTTCTATACGTTGCTACAGAACGAAGGAAGTGAATTCTTCCTTTCTGAGGCGCGACAGCCTGAAGTCGGGCCTTGGCCTCCCCCCATGTGGGAGGTTTTTGTCAATTTTTGAAGTTTGCATTTGTGAGTAGTGAGTGACCAATCTGAGCAATTTCTACTCAATCCTGATTTGTCTGCCAGAGCCATCTAGTAGGGGGAGGTCGTATATAGTACCGGACAGTGCTTACTTTACCGAAACGTCGCTAGTTAGTGACACTTGTGAAGTATCGGAGTCTTGCCTCTGTGAGTGAATCTTTCAATTTTTACAAATCTTGAGATACATTGTTTATTTTTGAAAGGCTGTATCAACTAATTCTGGTAAGTGGAATAATTATTCAATTTATTTTATTTCGTTGTATCAACTACAGACTGCATGTGTGGAATGATTTTGTTCCAGCAGTAAGCACTGGATATACAGCAGCAATTTTCTCTTTACGTGTCTGTCGTCTAATATCGGACGGTGTGGTTTCTGGTAGTACCGGACAAAGAACAATATTATTTAAGAATAAATACAATTTATTTTGCTTCTGTTTTTACCACTGATGATTATATAAACTCTGTTATCTTTACTATTGGCTAGATAACAGGTTTTGGTGTTTCTTTATTTTGTTATTGAGTGATTACATTTCGGGTTATCCGCACTTCGCATGCTGACGGAATATGTGTCCACACATCTGCTGCCAGTCTTATCTCGGGACGCGAGTTTACGTGTCTTCCTCCGAGACCCCGAACAGACCGTCACAACGTGACCCCTTCGGTCGGGGATCGTAATTGGACGCCGCCCCACAGAGCACAGTCGCCCTTGTGTTGGCGAAATTACTGATACGCTGGTGATGTTACCATCACTCTGCAAAACAACGCTGACAAGCGAGCGAATACTTCCGAGGTTTTGCCATCGTTTATAAATGCAAATGTATTCACACGCATCCATTATTATTGAAGCACCTGGATATAATTTTACGTTTTTACACGTGCAATCTGCATTGAATACAAAATTTCGATAGTTTATTTTTGTTTATAATTATTTCAGGGCAGAATCCTATGTCTGATTCCTCTTGACACAGAAATAAATCTACAATTCTC